AATGCATGTAATGTTGGGTCGGACGATAAGGAAGCTGCTTAAAATCCAAGGTAAGACGTCGTTCGTGGTGAACCATCAATGGTCTGGTTACACAGATGTGTATACTCGGTAAGAAGCTTCTCGCTCAAATCTTTTTCGCTTACGTCTGCTATATGGAAAACGGATTTCCATTACACCAGCTTTTATTGACTTGAATATGTGCGGATGTGAGGGACGGAACTTACCGTACGTTTCGTCAGAGTCCAATATTCCGAGTGATAGATCAATCCCTGATCCGGATCTTCTATCCAAACCCAGAAATTCTGCTGCAGTCCATGAAATCGATCAAACCAAGTAAAATCCGGTGTCAATTCGATTCGAACACGTAGAATGGTTCGTGTGATTGGTTGGGTCTCGGCATTGATCTGGATTTGTGGGACATAGGAAGCCATACGGATGATCTCTGATGCACGGAATCGGTTACGGCTGTGCAAAAGATGAGCTAATACATATGAGGGAGAAGTGGATAGCGGTGAGTGTTAAGAAAATATCGGGGCAGTTATGCTTGTTAAAGTACCTTTTAGTACGGGCATAATAGCGAAAGAGGACAAATAACGGCAGAAGCGTATTGATCATGTATAACACTCATGAACAGCTCGAAGCTTGAGTAGCCTGTTTTACTTATGACTTTATGGATTCCAGTTTCAATAGTACTTACGGATGAACGTCGTAAGTTCTGCATAGACTGGAACAGATTTACAGGGCTTTTTATTGTTTATGTCCAAATAGCTTTTCAATTTGAAAAAAATTTGCGTAGAATAGTTTCTCTATATCGTCTACAACCTGCTACTATATTCCGAATGGCTAACGTATATGCTATAATGTATAGTAACATCATGCATTTGGCTCCCCATATTGGACATTCCATTCGTAAATCGCGTTCAGAGTATCAAGGAATATGACGTCGACTACACAGGTATGCCTTCACCAGTTGGGCTAATTCCGGTGAACCTACACTGCTGTCATCGTTCATTAAGACAAGCTTGACCTTTAACCGGCATGCTGAATTTAGATGTGTGCGAAAGACATTCGCAACATGTGGTAAGGTATTAGTGCATTTGATGCCCAGTCAGGTGCAAAAATCACGTGATCAGTTTTGGACAAAAAAACGCAGGAGTGATTGAATCACCTTTTAAAGAGAACGGAAAATGGATTGATTGTATGGCATGAATGATCATGGAAACAACAATGGATCAATCGATTAGTGAAACACAAAAACGCATGCACGCACACATACCTAGCTCGTCCGCATCTGTCTCCCGTATGCGATCCACAGACAGTGATAAAGAATCGACCCGTTCGAGCAGACTGGCAGTAGACGCATCACAAAACTGCCATAGGGGAGATTGGTTGTTCCACTGACGTTGTTCTATCATCTGTTAGACAGGGAACAATCGGATGATCACATGGAACGAATAAAAAAGGAGCACGTTGGGGAACTGAAAATGTCGAACAATAATGATTGGTTTCTGAAGCCCAAAAAATAACCTCTTGGGTAAACGAATGAGGGGATCATCCCAGTTCGTTTGTTCGGGTATTAAATCAAAATGTACACGCAGTATTCTAGGATGGCCAGCTCTTATCATGAATGCAAACTCCACTGAACTAATATAAATGACAATGATAGGTGAAGAGAATTTGAATGTTTCAGTATTTGCAATTTGACTACTATAAATGTGTAAGTAGCCTGATTATAAATGGCAATATCCATCGACTGCGCTACATCGTAACTTCTTACTGCTGTTCGGTTTTCCTGCTTATAACTGTACACCTGCGTTTTGGTTTGACTGTATCACAATTTTACACGTCATTTTGTACCACAATGTTTGAAATTGTCTGTACGCTGGCTTCAAGTAACCCAGC